TGGAGATCCTTTATTAGGCTGGCTTGTTTCAGCATCACTCTACGTCCAAGAATGTTACTCTTGAGGATCATCTCTGTTTATGGTCCAGCTGCCTTTTCACAGTCACTTGCAGCAGTGTCTGCCTTCATCACCTCCATCTTCCTAATGTCATACTTCCTACTAAACGTTTTAAAATTCTTATTAACTACTTAAATAATTACACCTTGGCAATATACAAATAGTATTTTTTTAAAGATTTTCCACATGCAAATCTGTTTTAAAGGACATGTGTGTGTTAAGCTATTTCCTCCTTATTACCATAATTTGACCAACTATATGCCTTGCATCTCAAGGATGTTTCATATTTTTTGCTTAGAGGAGTACAAATGTTATGACAGCCTTTATGATCATAGTTTGCTAGAAATAAATGTTAGTAATAGTGTATTCATTTAAATATTTTAAGTGAATTGTTAATTGAATGCTAATAAAATCAATTAAGGATATGGTGTGTCTTTTGTAGGAAAAGTAGTATGTGCAATCTAAAAATAATGAAGTATTATTTGCACTATAACATGATTTTTGAAAAGTAAACCAATGCAGAAGCATATTTAGTAAAAGTATTGTTTGCTTTTTCCATTTTCAAAACCGTATTTACTTCCATACCTTTCTCTATATTTAAACACACAAGAGAATTTTCTTAAATTTGTAAAAATAAGGTTAAGGTAGTGATGTGAATTACCTTTTCTTGCTTTGATAAGTTTCTGAATTGTTTATCTAATTTTTCCAATGATTCTTGTTTGTTAGTATACTTTATACTGTTATCTTCCCCCTACCCTATAGATAGCAGTTACTCAGTGAACTGATTTGACACAGAAACCAAGGATAAGTGGAACCTAAGTGTTAAGATGCCAGTTGATGATCAGAAAGGAAGACAAACTGTTGAAGATTATTACTAGGAAAAAAAAAATCTTGATTTATATAACATTGATTTGATGATTGATCAGAATACTGTGTGTTCAGTATATACTACTGAGAGCATACTGCATGTGCCAAATGTTATACTTGGCACCAAGAATACATCAATGAACAAAACATACACAGTTTATGTCCTCATGAGACTTATAGCCTATGGCATATATCAGGAAATAAACAAACAATTTCAACATAATGTGATAAATGGGGATATTGGCAAGAGAGTGGTTGAAATGGTGAACTGTGGAGTCCGGTGTAGATAGGGAAGTGGATACAGAAGTGGGCTAAATAAGGAGAAAGTAGAAGAATCAAGTGTCTGCAACTCCGAATGACAAAAATAGATACAGTTGGTATAACTAATTTAGAGCTGGAAGATTGTAGTCAGAGAATAAGATAATTAATTTTCACATTTCCCATTCAGAGAAGACAAGGTGATGATGAAGTCTAGAGTGTGGTCTTACAGTGGCTAAAGTAGAGTTGCACTGGAAGTTGGCAAAGGTGAAATATTAATGATGTTAAAAGTAGAGTGATGAATGGATTATCCATATGTATATTAAATGATTCAAGGTTATGTAGTACTTGGGATAGAGAAGAATGTTGAGTGTCATGTATCAGGAGTTTCGAATGAACAGTTAGGCGTGCCTTCGAGATTAGTAGTTCCTCCCTGTGACCATGTTGAAATAACTTTGGGAACTTAACAAACTACTAATGCTCTTACCTTAATTTTGCTGCACCTCGGAAATCCTAATAGCTAGCTCTCATCCCCAGCTCTTCTGATTTAATTTGTGTGTGGTGTAACTTGGGCAATGGGACTTTAAAATCCCCCCAGGTAATTCCAAGGTGCAGGAATTGCACAGGGACAGAGGTTCTTACAGGAAACTGACTGGGAGTTATGATTGAGACCATGACCCTGCATTAAAAAGTCGGAGTAAGTGATAAATGAAAAAATAAGCAGCCTTTGAGAGAAGTGACTTTTATTTAAAGCAAATAGTGAAGTTTTTGAGGATGTAGGTGTGTGTTTTTTGTTTGTTTGTTTGTTTAACCATGGAACAGCGTAAACCTAGAGGAAAGCTTTGGGTGGGAGGGAAGCAGTGGGAAGTTGGATAATGGAGGAAAAAGCAAGAACAGTACAGTGGTTAGTGTACAAGAGAGTACTGATAACTGAATACATTTATCTTGGTAGTGACCAAACATAACAGGGCATAGTGGGTTCAGAATTGATGTGGAAAATATATTCATTCCATAGTGGGTGACAGTTGCTAATTGGGTAAATGGTTCTCAGGAGTCAGTTTTGACCTTGATGGGTTGAACATCATAGGAAACGCTAGCCTTGTACCCTTCTCTTTGTTATGGGGTAATGGGGTTTGGACTGATTGAGCAAGATCTGTGGAGAGACCCAGAGTTCTGGGCTGTTGTTCCACAGGTTCCCTGGGGAGCAGTTAGAGGCCTGGTTTGTTTGTTCTGACACTGGCAGGTGGCAGCTTTGGAGTGTCAAGGCTTGGTCCATTCTGCATAGCATAGTTCTGCACACTCACTCTGCTGCTTATGTGTGTTTGGCACTCTGCTGTACCTAACACCGGCAAAACCTTTACTCTTTCTTTTACTCTTGATGCTTTTCAGAATGATTGTAATTGTCCAGTTTCAGATTTGTGTACAGCTCTTGATGGGTTTTATTTTTTCCCAGTGTGCAAGAATTGGAGTAGACTTAGAAATTGGCAAACTTCCCCTTATTTATACGTTTGAATTTTATTTTTTGTTTTTTTTTTTTAAAGATTTTATTTATTTATTTGAGAGAGAGAATGAGAGAGAGAGAACACATGAGAGGGGATAGGGTCAGAGGACGAAGCAGACTCCCTGTCGAGCAGGGAGCCCGATGCGGG